GATCTATACTCGATTTCTTATTTAATCTAATTTTTCTTTTTGATGCAAGTATTGCCCTGAAAACAGTTTCCACTTTAGGTCCGCGGTACTGATTTTCATTCGATGCCATATCAGCGTATCCTAATCATCATGTTTAATGAACTTACCGCACCTGATCCTACTTTGGATGTCATTTCATGGCATATTTTAGAGGCTTTTGGGTAATATTTCGAAAAACTTTTCATTTACAAGGCTATTGTCTCAGCAGATTAGAATATTGCTTATTGTTACAGACAGGCTTTATTTATCCTGCAGCCGCGACGAGTTCCGGGTTTTGCTTATGCTTGGTTAGATATCATTGGACACAGAAACTTTATTGGGAGGCTACTGAAGGAAAGCACAGAACCGATGAAAACAGCTGCAATGTACACTCAGTTGATCATATGTCATTTGAAGTTCTTAGCTCCGTTCTTGCGCAATATTCAGCTCCCAAAATCGATTGCCATGATGTATAAGGTATGATTTTTGAGTTATATCCCTGTTATTGCTAAGGCCACTTTCTAAACCCATTATTGATCTGCCCTTATTTGGTTAAATCTCTTTGGAATGAGTTTGGCCTTACGTTTCGAAATAGGAAAATCCTCTACTGAGGAGTCGTGGCGTATTTAGAGTTAAGGCAATAGAGATTAATCATTTCTTGCTTTTGAAATTATAATTGTGCCTAAATTATTTAACACTTGGTTGGTATCAACGATTCAAACCATATTTTGATGACTTCATATTTAGGGTACGCTTCGCGTTTTGTTAGTGATTCTGCATGATTTCCCAGAATTGCTATGTGAGTATCACATCGTTATCTGTGATACAATACCGCCGAACTGTGTTCAGCTGCGCAATCTTGTGCTTAGTGCTTACCCGAAAAATATGCGATTACCTGATCCGTTTGGTTCAAATTTGAAGGTGATGTTTTTTATGTTTTCTGAAAATTTCTGTTCTTTTTGACATTGATATACATATTATATAATCGATGTTCGCTTCTTATAGGTTGATAGTTTGCTAGAAATGACTCAAGAACCAAAAATGAATATTAATATGGCTGCAATCATTCCGCCTGATCTAAGAACGCAACTGGATGATTATTTAAATACTCGCTCATCTGTTGATTTTCATGCTAACTTGCCAAGTTTGTTACAGGTAGTTTTTAATTTCGTAGATTTTTTTGGTGGTCTGGATCGTTGCAGTACCTTTTTCTCTCTTTATTTCTCGAGGAATAAATTCAATTTCAGGTTAGTAACATTGCTGGTTCGAAATATAATACAACCGTTATGAATGCAGTTGTTATATATGTTGGAATGCGTGCAATTCAAGCAATTCATGAGAAACAGCAATGCATTACAATGACTACAATCGCACACACAGCATATATGGATATTTTTCAAAATCTGGCTGTTAGCTTGTGTACTGAAGGTTTATTTTCTTGAATCTGTTGGCCATAAATTTTACTTTTTAAAAATATGTTTTCTGATTTTTTTTTTTTTTGTTATCTTCGGATCAAATAAAGATGTAGACATCATTTAGGACGATATTTGCTGTTCAACGCTATAGCAAATCAGTTGCGTTATCCGAATAGCCACACGCATTATTTCAGCTGTACACTGTTATATCTATTTTTAGAAGCAAATACTGAAGTAATACAGGAGCAAATTACGCGGTGAGCATTTTCAAAAAAAAACATAGATGCTAACCCAATTGCACTTCCGTAATATCGTGAATTTTTCTTTAAGCCTTTAATTTTTTCACTAAGAATGAGATCTTTCTTTTCAGAATTTTGTTCGAACGCCTCGTTGCATTACGCCCACATCCGTGGGGTTTGCTGATTACATTCATTGAGCTGATCAAAAATCCAAGCTATAGCTTTTGGAAACATGAATTTGTGCGATGTGCTCCAGAGATTGAAAGGTTCTTATTTAATAAATTTACAACAAGAAAGTGAAAAAGAAGATGGGAAATGCTAGACAAGAAGAAATCCTCTGAGTATGCAGCTTATTTATCTTATTTGTTCGCTGTTTTTTTTGCTGTTGTTAGTTTCCAGGCACTGTTTCATTAATATCCAAGACGATGAGTTAGCAACAACTGATGATCGGTACCTACCAGTATTTTTTAGATCGATATCGTTTTAGATGATAGAATATACCAAGAATAATATCATCCATCAGTATGTCGTAGTGTATGTTCCATAAAGATTGGAGATTTTTATCCCTTTGTTACATACACAAAATTCACAATAAAAAGTGATAACCCTTAAGCAAAGTACATGTGTAGTGCTGTAAAGAGACATGCAAGGATTTAAAACAGTTTTGATTAATTCGTTAGTCCGGAGGCTTCGTATTTCCCTCATTATCAAAGCCACAAAACCTAGACTTATGTTTCAGATTTCCAAATCACGAATCGGACTATTATTTCAGGCTTTTCCAAAGTGTGGCAAATTCTTGCATGGGTTCAAATGCACGCCACATAAATGCAAATGCACCACATACATCGCAATTACCAGCAGGCAGCAGCCCGCAAACTATACAGCAGTGAATGATCTCTGCATTTATTTCAAAACGAACTTTGTTTTTTTATGCTACGTTTGTACCTTAAAATATTTTTTTAGGATTGAAATCCTAGAGATTTCACATCATAGAAGTGACTTTGATTTTCTATTATCCCGAAAATCATGTTTAGATGCCAAAGTTTTGGCTGTGCTTGCTGGTGTAAATTTTTAAAAAAATACAATTCTCTTGCCTATTCCAGAATGTTTTTTTCGTTATGCCTGTTTCTATATATGTTGCATTTATTGTGTGTTCGATACTTGATCGTCATCTTTTACATATATGTCTAGGCTATACTTTTGTTTGTTTTTCTTTTTTTTTATCCTTCCATGTGAATTTATGGCCAACTGGCTGTTTTATATGCTTTAGCAAAATATCTTTTTATTCTGAATTGCTATGGAAATGCATGGGAACTGTTTTCTTTTTCTCCAAGATTCAAAATATATATTTTCAACCGAAGCGAGAGGTTTAGCTGGAGTGCACAAGCTGGTGTTGGGCTCTATTATTTTTCTTAAAATTTGTGTTGTCGACCCTTGCAAGATAGTACGGGTTTCGGGTTCACTCATTATGTTAGAGGTCACTGCACTTTGTTTAGCTCATCTTCTGGTTGAACTTATATCCTTACTTTATATGTTTTTGATTTTCTTTATTTCTTTTCGTTTTAAACATGTACAGGCAATAGACGGCAAGAGGCATTTTCTTATTCGTAATTTGGCCTGTCTTTGTTGATTCTTACTTTCTCATCATCTTTTTTCTTGTCAAATGTTTATTTTCATTGAACATTGTTTTATATTTCTTATACTTTTCTGCTCTAATCGTTCTTTTGTTTCTTTGTCGTCTATTGTGCTTAGCAGATTTTACATATTTTTCAGATTCACTTTGAGATTTGTGTGTAAAGTTGTAATAGTATGTTTTATGTTCGTGTTTCTTCGCTAAAATTACTTATCTATGTGTATCATTTATATCAGTAAAGTGTGGATCACAGTGCAAGTGATATGAGATTGCGTGGAGAAAGATCGTAATTTAATCGTGAGATCTTGGATTGAAAACTAGGTAAATTAAACCTGTAAGTTGTGTTTGTGTTTCCAGGATATTTTTAGTGGTATATGAGGAAGATATGGATTGGAAGAAAAGAATAGAGGGAGGGACTGCTGCTATATTCGCCTTCTAGTGAGTTAGTAAAAGTGTAGAGTCTTATGTAAGCAAATCCTCATTGTACAACCACAGTTTTTTGCACAGCTTTCAGCATTTGAAATGCATACAAAATGAAGAAATTTACTAGAAATATTTCGAAAAAAATTCACATTGGTTAAGAAATATATGCTAAATGTTAATTGTATAAGACTGATGTTATTAGTGTTTTTTCTAAATATTTTGCATATAAAATAATTCGCGAGAATACGAAAAGTTCACTTCCTGATTTTGCAACTTCTCGAAATATGTTAACATAGCAGGCGGTTTCCTCAATACAAAAACTTTAAAAATCTTTGGTCAGATGTACCACAAATTATGGGTCACAATTAAGAATTGCTTATTACATGATAACTTTTCCTCCATAATAGCTTGAAAAAGGAGATGTATGCTAAATTTTGCAAATTTACCATCCGACGATTGATTTTCAGAGATCGGTAAGGCATCAGGCTATGCCGTGAGAGCTTTTTCCAAAAATTTTCACCAACAATATGGATATATTAATCAGAAAATTAAAAATGCTAAGGAGGGACCCATAAAGTTTTTTTTTTTTTTCTGTTTTTTTCTTTCCTAACAAAATTTGGTCAAATTATATACAGTGATAAGAACATAACTTTTCATCCTGCTTTTTCATCTTTGATGCTTCTCTGCGGTATGTAAAGTGTTAGGCCAGGTTGTATTATTTACATATGCTTGTAAATTTATCGTAAATGAATCAGATTTGCCTTGCATCGAATTGTTTCTCAATATTCGATGAAAGCTACTGTAGACGTTTGAATTGGAAATGTTGTGAGTCAATTTTGCTGCCGGTTGGCAATCCTGATGTGAATTTGCTTTTTGCCAATAGTCAGTCTGTCAAGAAATTTGCCTCGAATTTATGTTGATTCAATTAATTTGAATTGCTGTTATAAAAGGTGAAACAAAACTCCAGTGGATAACATTTGATGTTTCGTTTCAACATCTTTGAAATATCATATTTGAAAGAATTGCTGCATCTTCATTTCTCTTGAACTAAAATCAAAGTCTTCATATAGTGATGGCTTGAATTTCGTTTTAATTCATCGACTAATATTATAAAATAATCTTATTTGTCTCTTTGTATTTCACTCATTTCTACTGATAAATAAATCTTTATGCTAGAGATTCATTACGCATATTATTTTTGAAATTTGCAGACAACTTTCGGCAGTTTCATTGGAATGCTTGCAATGTAAACATAATATTTGTTCAACATGTATGGAAGAATACAAAATATTGCCCATTCCCGGTCTGTCTGTATAAATTCCATAAATAAAAGATATGACATGATCTATCACTAACTTCTAAATTTCACCTGTAATCTATTTTTCTCTGCAGAAAGTGACCGATGTTTTAGTTTGCCCAGCGGAAGATTGTTCAGGAAAAGCATCTGAGGTGGATGAGTCCAATCTGTGCGACGGTATATGTAAAAAATACGTGGAAGAAGGCAAATACATAACGACAAGTTGCTGTCAAGCAAAAATATGCTCCGCTTGTTTCGAGACTATTTCCGGTCGTAAATATTCAACAGGTACTGATTTTGATCATTCCAAGTTGCTTGTTTTGAAGAATCTTAACAAGATTTCAATTATTGAGGATATGCAATACTTCACAAATTTATTGATTCATTTTTAGTGTTTTAAGGAGCTTTTATGACGTGCAGTCTTACTGTTATAAAAAGAAGTAGACCTTTTAAATTTAAAATTCACTGTGTTTTCCGGAAAATGTTTTTTGAAACGAAATAAAATATCCTTTTCAGGTGTTGAAGAAAGGTGTCCTTCTACTGAATGCCTTAGACATGCTGACGTTAGTGGAATTGAATCGAAATATTTGCTCCTTCTTATTAATTACGATGACTGAAATTGTCGATAAATTAAGAAATTACCTATTCTCGAGAAAGATCAGATTATCAAAAATACTGATAGTTTAAAACAAACTGATTACTGTAAAAACAAAATTCTAAAAACGAAATTTGAGTAACTGCTAGCCTCTCTTTTTAAAAATAAGAGTAGTTAATTCAATGCGATACATACCTATCAGATAGCTCGATGCCAAGCTGAAGTCAAATGTAAAAACTCGCCAATTAGTGGATTCCCGTCAAAAGATGAATGCGAACACGCTATGTGCATTCAATGCCTGGAGAAGATGATCGATAACTGTGAATCTGCTGGTTAATCGTGCCATTTTTTATGCGAACTTTGGACAACTCCATAATTACTACACGCATCACTATAATAGTTTTTTTTTTTCGAAATGATTTTTTACAAACTTCCTCTTCACAAAGACGAGAATTAAGGTTCTCTACCACGTTGTCCTAACGAATCATGCAATGCGTTGTATAATGTGGAATCCGTAATCGCAATGCGTGCAATGCTACCGGCAAAATCGGCATTCTTCAATAAACTTTCACTGGATAACAACTACTATTACTTGATTAAGGATGAAATAGTTACTGTTAGTAATGATACAGTTCTACTCTCGTCAAATACTAGGCTTGTAATAATTACAGCAATATATGAATGTGCTAGAATTATCATTTATGTTATTGCCAGAAGATTCCTACATTATTTAAAGGAGTATATACTTATTAAAAGTATATTTCCCTTCTTTCAGCCAATAAAATTTTCCTGAAATTGCTCAAAACATATCAGGAAGAATAAATACACTGCAAAATTACAACCGCTTTAAATCAGTTAAAGATTCCAATTATTGGCCGAAGTTTTCACATTTTTAAATGTTTCAAAATATAGAAGAGGAGGGGAAGAGAAAGGAGGGAGTTAGAGAAGAGGAGAGAGAAAGAGGGAGAGGGAAGAGATGGAGAGGACAGGAGAGAGAGGAGAGGGGAGAGAGGAGAGGAGGGGAAGAGGAAGGGGAGGGAGTGAGAAAGAGGAGAGGGAGAGATGGAGAGGAGAAGAGGAGAGAAGAGGGAGGGGGAGAGGTAGAGAGGGAATGAGAGAGAGGAATGAGGAGGGAGATGGGAAGAGGAAGAGAAGGGAGCGAGAGAAGAGGAGGGAGAGGGAGAGATGGAGAAAAGGAGAGAAGAGGGAGGGGGAGGAAAAAGGAGGGAGTTAGAGAAGAGGAGGGAGAAAGAGGGAGAGAGGAGAGATGGAGAGGACAGGAGAGGAGAAGAGGGAGGGGAGAGGTAGAGAGGGCAGGAGAGAGAGGAGAGAGGAGGGAGGAGAGAAAGAGGTGGGGAGAGAAAGGAGGGAGAAGTGGGAGAGGAGAGGAGAGGAGAGGGGAAGGGAGGGGGAGGAGGAGAGGGGAGCGGGAAATTCAGCTCACCGTTCTCCAGGGGAGCATGTTTGCGATACTGGCAGCAAACAGTGACCGATATCAGAAACTGATCAGATCAAAATTCCCGAACCTTCTATGACTTACTTCCCGCTTTGCAGGTAGAAGAACATAACACACAAATATCGATCAGTCTAGAATAGGAACAAACTTCGACGAAATAAACAGGTGCTGAACGGAAACGATGATTACGTGAAGCGTAATTCGTGGGACCCACGTGGGTTAGTGGGCAACACTAAGTGATATATATGATATGTGTAACAACAGTAGAAAAGTATTCACAACACTGGACAGAAATTCAAGCACGAAGAAGTGACAAACAAATCTCATAATTTAGAGCCAATATTTCAACCAGTTAGTCATATTTGTCATGGTCATGATAAACTATCTGCACAAAAGAACTCTCTTCTGGTTCGTATAAATGATATTAGTCATCAATAAAATATGCAAATGCACATAAAATAATCCATGAATTAATCCTCACAAATTGAATGCATTGCGATTAATTGTTCGGAAATATTCTAGTACAAACATCATATTGTGTCTGTTTCAATGCGACATTTGTTTATTATTGTTTGACAAATAGTAGAATTTGAAATGATGTAAAATTTCATCCCACATTTACGCATTGTATATAATATATCTGAGGAAAATTTTTAAATCTTCAATAAGATTTCAAGCCAAATAATTAACTGAGAATAGCCAAGTGATCAACTGAGAGCATATTTTTATGCTTTGTAACGAATATAAGTTGTTATTTTTATGTGTTCAATAAATGATCCTTATTAAGGAAAGTTTTTATTTTATTTCTTCATTTACTATTAGTAAAATAGATTTCGGTGAAAACGCTGTAGTAATGAACTGATTGACATTCATCTTACGATATGTTTTTGATTATAATTATCAAAGAAATGAATACTGTTTGATGCATTTTGTTATTATTAGTAACAAATTCATTTTTTTTTTCCAGTGATATTTTACGCTAGTATCAATTTCTACGTGACCACAATAGGAAAAAACATGGGAATATGCAGATAAAGTTGATTCAGCGGGAGTATGTTCAATTATTTATTTTCAGTTTTTTTTTTTTTTTTTTTTTTGAAAATATGAGAATATAATAGTAACATTTATCTTATGTAAGCAAATCCTCATTGTACAACCACAGTTTTTTGCACAGCTTTCAGCATTTGAAATGCATACAAAATGAAGAAATGTACTAGAAATATTTCGGAAAAAATTCTAATAAAGTAATATTCAAGAATGCATATATCATCCGGCAATTGGTGATTAGCCGACTAGAAGGTTTCTCTCCCCTTGTTCATTGTGTATTGAGTCATCGTTTTCACAATGATGAGGAAGGACAGATGAGTTTGTAACTGGCTAATTTGTTGTATGCTTATAAATGAAAGTACTTTTTGTACCAGTCGAGGTTGATACTTTCTTTCATTTCACAGGGTTAGAGTCATAAAAAATTCTGAATTAATGAAGAATCGCATGCATAGGGTAAGAGCTGCACGAGATTTTTCTCACATTGAATAAGCTGAAAACAATCGTTCAAGAATTTAGAGACATATGTTCTGTCATTCCATGCAACTAATTAAGCATCAGATTAGCAGAGAGACACTTATCAATCTACCTGCCATATTTATTAATAACTTTTAGCGTTACAGAATTCCTCTACTCCTACACATATATCTCTGATGGAGCAATTATTGGGATGATGGTGAAGAATGTCAATAATCCACATAATGCTCGATTAGCAGGCCTGGCACATGTATTTCCGTCGTTATGTCTAATAACATGACGTTAATCTATTGATTAATACATCGGCGTGAATATTTCATTACTCTCGCTTATTTCTCGGATACATCATGGAATTTCAATTTTTTATGCAAAATGACAATAAGTCGAAAAAGTCAAAAGATTTTTTGTTAGATTTGTGATACGCAAACCTATGTTTTATGCTACCTCTAATGTCACAAAGAAATCTAACTATGCTATTTTAGTTAAGGCAAATGTTAGTACAACAAAATTTGATTTTTTTGTTTGGTCTTTTGTTAATTTTTATCTACTTAATTCCATAAGAAATTTTTATGTAGCTTTTTGCTTTGGTCAATTTTTTAATTTAGGAAGACTCTTTTTGTCTTTTCTTTAGATTTCTGTCTAATCTTAACAATGGAGCAGATTTCAACTTGCAAATCATTATGCCTCACTATTTATCTGCAGTAGAAACAATGAATGTATTTAAAGATAAGCTGGAACCAAAACAGCCACAAACAATCTCATGCTTTGTCATCCCGAAAAAATTATATTAAAGAGTTAGAAAGTACATAAAGTAAGCATAGAGAAGTTAGTCACTTGCTGTAATCTTCAAGAATTAAATAAAATTACAACTTATGTGCAAATGCAGAATTCAAATTTAAAATTGAATGACGAGCTTGTCGATTGTGTAGATAAGAAGATAATGACAAATTGTCAAAACATGGAGTTATCATTTGTTATTATCTTAATAAGATGCATATTAAAACAAACATATAATACCAAGTGCTCATCTCAAAACATCGATTTCTCCACTAAAATTGAATTAAATACAAAGGAATTTTCTTGGTCACTAATGAATTCAATTTCAAATAATACTCAGTTATTTCTATATTAATTAAGAATTTGCACTTGATTCTCATGAAGTTTTCTCATAAAATGAAATTTGCTAATAGAGGATGGTATTCCTGTATTTAAAGTTGCTATTCCCAAACAAAAAATCTTGTGGAGTAATCATCATTCCGATGTGTTTAAAATATATTGAAAATTCGAAAAAAAAAACGCTTCTTGCAGGATCAAATTATGTCAGGAAAATGAAATTAATATGAAGAGTGAACTTCGATAAAATTTTAATAACATCAGATAAGATTGTTTAATTTTATCAGTTCAAGTGACTTAAATTTTTAATTTAATCTCTTAAAATGCAAGACTTTTTGCAATTTACTCATTGTAATTTCAATGCCAGTATGCAGTTTTATGAGCAAAATTTGAGGAATTTAAAAATGGGGTTAAAGGAATAACATAACAAACTAACTGCAATTAATTACAACAGTGGTATTAACATTCTCTTTGACTGCCATTTTAGGAAGAAAGAAATTTAAATTGAAATTCCTTAAATGCACAAGTCTCTTCTACTACATAATGGAAAATAATAAACGAATGTGACATAAAGTGAACGACCTATTCGATTTTAAAAACATTTGAGGATTCGATTAATTCTTTGATAAAATTTGTAAATTAGATAATTTTAATGAACATCTAAAACAACAAAAAACATTTCGTTTTGAATTGACAAAAGAGGACTCACTGTTGACCGTCAGTGCAATGGAAAGTAAACATGGCAAATTGAAATGTCTATTGCGCTAAACATTATTTTTTCATGAGCCATTACTTTTTGTTGGAAATGAAGAAGTGAATACTGAAAAGCAGAGGAGAAGATAAATTTATATTTGTTTTGCAAAAGATGCATATGAAAACGGAAAGAATGAAAATTCAAATATTGTACAAATCAGATTTTGAAATCAACGGCAAATTTTAAATGTAAGAAAAATCAATGCTTTAACTGAACATTTCGTGCAGAGATTTGTTGATTAAAATCGTGAAGTTCAAAATCAAAAAAGAATGGTAACTATAAGTGCAAGTGTTCAACTTCACTTCTTAAAAATAAATTCTTACTTAAATATTACTTAAACAAATTAATGCTTAATTTTTTACTGCTAGTAAACAAGAAAAGGTATGAAAGGCTTCGGAGAAAGAGGTATTCTTCCCTGTTTTTTCGTTGGAGAATTCACTCTCGAAAAAAAGAAATGCATCCTATCATTCAATGATATATATAATAAGAATTTCGATTGATTGAATTTGTTTAGACACACCATTTCTTTAACTGTACAAGTATTGTTATATAAAAAATGAAAAAAGGCTGAAAAGATCACCTAGCCCAACATTATATTGTTTAACCTAACCCTCTAACTTTTTGTAACATTTGTCAAATATTTCTTCTACCACAGCAGCATTGAATATTCATTAATTGAAAGAATCAGTTTTTTTTCCACCAAAAAGTTATAATTACTACTTTCCAATGGACATCAAAATTGATATCAACATTATAAAGTATTATAAGCAAGAATTTCTTAAATATGCTTGATATTTAAATATGCAGAAATTAAAAGATATTAACTGAGACGAAGAGTATAAATAATTCTCCGTCTGGTTCATTTATTTGTATAATTAGTCTATCGGTTAGAAATCTTCCACGTCTGTAAAGTGTGAATTGTAATACATCATCTCACGTTCACAACTTGTTTATTTTCAAATTTTGCAATAAAAGAATATTTTTTTCGAAATATTCAGATTTACTTACTTATAATTTTAAGAGCAGTCTTTTCTTTTGAAAACAAAAGTAGTACTGGAAGTTTTATATGTTTTATATGTAGTAGCAAATAATAGTGGCGACAAATAGGGGATGAACAACAGCAGTTTCAACAGCAAACAAGCATCACCTTTACCGCCGCCTACATCTCCGCTAGCTCATTCATATGCACCCCCGCTACCACTTCCAATTCCTCCATCATCTCCAGCATTTGCCCCTCCAATTCCAAAAGGTACCAATCAAGAGTCGCAATATGATTGCTTAAAAAACTTATGCAAACAGCATCTAGGCATTTTCAATAACATTTGATTTTAATTTTAATTTTTATAAAAGAAACATTCATTACGAATTAATTCTACGAAAATAGTCCAAATGCAACTAATTCCAATGGTATATATTTCACATATCTTTTCGCTAATAGTCTTTTCCTAATAGTTAGAAAATTAGCTATTCAAATTACTTAATTTTAATTTCTAAAAAAAAAAGTCTGCTTTTATTCTGTGCAATTTGCTAATGTTTGTTTTTTTTTTTTCCGAACATTGAAGAATTTGAAACGAAAAAATGAATTTCAAAACCTTTTAAATCAAACAAACTTGATGTATAACTTTTCAGTTCCGGAAAAAGTGAGTTATTGATATTCAGTATTTCTTATGCAGTTGAAACGTTGCCCATCAGATCCTGTTACAATGATGTTAAAATCTATTGCCAATTTAAATCATTGTAATTAATTAATATAATCTAATCAATAAAATCTAAAACTCTAATTATGGTACCACTGAGCTTTCTTTAAAGGAAAGAAGTAGTGGTGGAAATGAATTTGGAACGATCTCTTTGTTCGGCTCAGACCAAAGTACCATTTTCAAATTTCAAACAACGAATAATTCCACTCACAGTTTATACGTTTTTAATCATTTTAAAATTTATACAACAGATTTTGCATTTTTTAATATTTACTATCACTTTTATGATAGTGATGACTAAATGATGTTGGAGTGATAGTTAATTCAAGAAAATTTTAGGAAAGCTCAAAAAACAAAAGATGAAAACAATACCAACAAAGAAAGGAAAATTGATAATGTTTGCCTTTTCGATCTGTTTCGGCGTTTCACTTTTTACCTTTCTGTTCGCAGTAATATTGTTCATAGTTCGAGTGTGATATTATCTACATCTTTCCAAACTAATCACTTTAAATCATGAAGATCAAAAATAAACGGAATAATTAGGAAAATATGGGGAAGTGTTCGAGAATTTTGAAGTGTTTCACTAAAATCGTAATGCATCTCGACTCTTATAGCACACTGTGACATTAACTGTTGAACACGTGCATGTACTTATAATTAAATCCATTGAAATTATCGTTGACGCGATGACGACATACCGCATTCCGTGAAGTATCATGATTTATAAACACGTATTGCCATCACTATTAATTCTTGCAGTACCTTACTTAAAATCAGATCGCTTACTTCAATTCACTTTGTCTGCACATTTTCGCGACAGTCAAATTATTCATTCCACACCAATGAGATATTCGATGTGCAAATTATTCCTTGCATTGGTTATTCATATTAATATACAGATAGGACTGCTTCGCATTGTTATTCTCATGGATTTTATCTAGGAAGATTCTAATTCGTCATTCGTGTTTCTAGTAATATATTTTATCAGGTATCTTACGATTGTTTCTAATTTTAGAATGGAAAATCTCACTACATTTGTAAGCTTTTCCTTTCGACTTGATTTATTTTTTAACCTGCTTTTTTAATTCGACAATTTAACTGAGTTATTTGAAGTATGACAAACTTGATTTAGAAGAAATGATGTTAAGTGAAAAGATCAACTGATTCATTCAAGCAATAACAATTTAGTGATGAAGATATGATATTGATAGTGTTGTGTATAATGTATAAAAGAGAATATAACCATAGAGTAAAAAAAAAAAAAACAATAATTTTGAACATTTATTAAGAGTTGAAATCGCTCTAAATTACTTTTAACAACAATGTCAAAAAGTTTATCCTGTCATCGTTGTCACTTTCTGTTTGCATAGGTTTTTAGTTGTAAATATGATTAATTAGTTATAACGTGAAAACCGTTGAATATTGGTATCATCCATTACAGCTAATTTTTAGTACATAAACAAAAACGATTGACTAGTCGAACAAGTACCATAAAAGTTCAAAAATAAAGTTGCTAACCTACTGAAAACAAAATATTTTTTTTTTTCTTTGTATGACGACAAAGTAAGATTCAATATAAGCCAGTGACATTTAACGGTATTTTTTAATTACAATCTACAAATAGACACAATGAAATCATGCCAATGCTACGAATCATGAAATCATCTGCTCATATAAGTCATATTTTTATATTCGCTTTATTCGTTCAAAAATTTGAAATCACTTCACAAGATACTATAATAGTTTATTAACAGGATCAATATACTGCGCTGAAGAACTTATGTCAACTAAACTGCTTAAAGCATTTCGCTTTTCTTCTGGATTCTTTCGCTAAAGCTTTTGAGTGAATCTTTTTTATTTTGCAGATTTTCTTATCCACTGTTTTGCTTTTTCCCTGATTTGCTATTAATTAAAAAGTTTAACATATGCATTAATCTGGGATCAATCCCTTGAAATATAGCCTAACAATATACTCATTGTATTTCAGAGATTGACTTGAGACATATCTATCACTGAGACTATATCTGTACAATTTTTGGAGCTTAAGCAAAATTAATTCACACAGATTTCAAAAAAATAGTAAATATTGTAGTGACTAAAATATTGCAGTAAAACGAGTTATAATTGCCGTAGTAAAATATGATGAGTATGATAATCATAAGCATCGTAATCAATATAATGATGTATCATAATAAGCACAGTATTAAAGTGCAACAAAATACCATTACAAATATACGGCACAACAAAATATTGTACCGTAGCATAATACGATGTCAATTAAATACCGCATAATAAGTATTGCAGCAAAAAGTGTGATAAGTCCCATAACAAGCTAAGAGTATAGTGAGACTAACACAGGATTTCACACTGTTGTCAAACGAGTTTACTTGTATAGAATAACACCAAAAAAGTCATATAAGGAAATAGTTTTAAAGGGATCAACAAGCCGAAAGAATACTTGTGTACAGCAGATACAGCCTCGATCAATATGTAAACAATCGTGAAACGATATTTTGGAGTTCAAACAAGGATTAAAGTGCAACGCCGAATGAAAGGTCGTATAGATACAGTAATGCGCCTGGTCAGTAAAACTAAGATCACAAGAAGCCGACCTAGAGATAGAGCTCGAAGGATTTGAAAGGAATGGGTCAGCAGAGGGAGCTCAGTTTTGAATATTTCATTCAATATTTAGATAGATACATTTTTTAGTGATTTTTGGATAGATTCGATTCGGTACGGCATATTCGAAGCACTAGTTTCATAGTGGATCGATAGTGACATGAAAGTACGACAATTTAGTTAACATTCAATGGACTATTGGTATAATTCAACATTTTAGGTGTGTTGGTTTCCACTCTATTATTATATAAATACGGTATTGCATGATACTACACAAAACTAATAAAGCTTGAAAATTTGTGGAGGTGAAAACACGATTTTTAAAAAGTAAAAAAGTCGATTTTGCTTCTTTTGTTTTAAAAGTTTGTCATAGTGATGAAGAAAATATATATACATTGGTATAAATGAAACAATGGAACATAAAAGTTCTGTTTCAAAGCTTCCTTTGTGTATAGGTGCTCCTCGAAATCCTTTAGCTGATTTCATTTTCTTGAGAGAAATAAAAAAAGGTGAACATCTAAGAAAGACTATTACAGGACAAACACAGAAATAATAACAAACGACAAAGAAACTGCTAATTGTCTAATTAAGAGTATTTTTCTCTCCTCATCCTCTTTAAAGACATTTCTCCTTCCTTTCTCTTTCATTTCTCAGCTATAAAGGCAATAAAAGCATCAATACAAACAGCAGCAATCTGGTTTTTGTTAATAAATGTAATGTGTTTTGGCTTGAAGCCATCACAATTTTGGATAGTTATCAGCTATACCAGTTTTTCTAATTTACAATATGCTGCTTTCAGTTGTAAATGAATTCTCATTTAACAATTATTGCAAGCCAAACCAGCGAAGGTATTCGTAACCCTGATTCGGCTAACCGAATGACCAGATGCAACACACAAGTGACCTATAGGCTCACTCGGTCATATTTGTCATGCAATAGAAAACAAGATATTATTTCAAGCTTATCCGTATACCGAATAGCGATGTGAAGTCTGCGTAAAAATTGTGTATTGAGGAAAATAAATGAAGATATTAAATTTGCAATAATTTTAGAAATAGGCATGTCATCAGTTGCTAAAGTTTGGCTAATGTTTGTTTATAAGCTGGTGGTAATATTTGCATAAACGGATTTTGCGTAACAGAAAGAAAAATGTGCAATGTAGCATATATCAATAAGCATAGATATGGTAGCATCCAAAAATTAGAACATTTTTTCTCCAGTTTAAGCTAATTTATGTGAAAATATTTCAGATTGCAGCCATTTTAATAATTTATTACTTTCTGATCTTTTACAATGGAAATTTTGAATTATTAAGCAAAATATTATGTGAATTTAAGTGAATAAAATGTGATTAAAACTTATCTTTTGCTGGATGACTATCTCTTTAGAGGAAAGAAACCAGAATAATTGACAGATATAGAGAAATGGAATAGATGTTCTTATTTTTATAGTTTTTCGGAGCGTTTTTTTGGAAGTTAAGTGCTCTGTTTTTTCAAGGGTAATGAAAGTTTGCAAGCCAGAAGCACAGAAGTAAAATAGCTTATAAAAAAGGATCTTTAGAATTCTCTGGTCCATGTAAATTCTTAAGGATCGACTGATTTCTACACTAGAAAACAGGTAATAGCACTGAAATAGATTTGAATGTGAACTTACAAGTAATGCTGGTTTCTTATGTATCATAGTTCTTGATAGAGATTTGCTATAAGGAAACTATTTTCTGTTATTTCAAAATTTACCAAGAATTTTTATTGCTACAAAACGTTTTAGTCACTATAATATATAATTGAGAATGAGGAAATAATTTCACATCACATAATAATAATGTGCTCAATTTTTTTAAGCATATGACAATATCAGATTTGAACTGTCAGGGACATCTTATTTATGCATTCGACTGATTCAATAAACAACTATATAAATGTACTTAATAAACTACATACTAGCTTTTGAATATTTTGTAGAAGAAATTTCTCATTGCATTATTATCTGTCCGACATTACTCGATCTACCCCTCAAAGTGTAAAATTTCTATCATTATTTCAATAACATATCTCATCAGAAGACAGATATTTCTCATCCTTATCCGTTCCAATAAATTTTATAGACTTTTTTTTTTTTTTTTTTTTTTGCAAAAAACTATGCTTTTGTATATTTACTGTAAGTGAACAATATTGTCATCACTTTTTAATGTAGTCAAAAGTTTTTGGAAATATTTTACTCATTTATCAATGTTATTGACTATTCAATTGGTCGAATAGCAAATGATAATAAAAGTATATGTTTTTGCAGAGTACTATATTAACATAAAAAATTATAACATTTGTATATAATGTCTCATAAGAACGATTATGTAAGAAGGTTGTTTTCTGCACTAATTTAATGACTGCGAAGTAAAAGTATCATAACTAATTCTTCTTTAACTTATAATCAGATTTTACTTAGTTCTTCTTTTAGAATCTTCTGAATGGTACTAAGAATAGCTGCATCAGACCGACTGATACCAAGTGAGATGAATTCAGCTCTGGTGAGCAATAAAAAAGTTTCATAGTCTATTTCTTGTTCCTCTAATTTCTGACACATATCTGGAGAGCACCTTCTATTTAGAAGATCCCAGTATTTCTCTGGAAAATGAATCAATTACATCAATCTAAATAACAGTTTGCAATCTATCGCAGAATTTTCGATTCGTTGTATGTTTATCTCAAAGTTAACTAACGAGAAATATGAAACATGAAAAATTTTACAGATCGAGGTCATGCGGCAGACATGCGGCTTCCTGACTTGATTAAAATTCAGTTAAAATCATTTAAAATTATAGTTTCAAATCACTTTTTTTCTGTTTAATAAAAAAGCATTTCGAACCTATTGAGGCTATTATGAATCTATCAGTTGTCTTGATGAATAATTAGAAATGTTTTTATGAAACTGTTAAATATAGTATTTTATCATAATAATTACATTACACGTCTCGTTAGTTAAAAATTAAATTATAATTTCATTAAATTATAATTAAAGCGAATGAATCACTAACTCTCATATTTGTAAGTTGAACACAATTCACTTATACTTTCAATCATCGGAACTTCACTGTCCTGACAACCATCTGTTTTCAGTATCATTGATAGATTTGAGCTGCTTGATGAAGTCATCGAATAGCTGAGTGCATTAGGAGTATTTTATTAGCTCAATGTCTTTAGAGATATTTTCCTAAAATCGTTAATTATTCTTTACTTTTTTGGTGATCCGGAACCAAAATGGAACAGAATGGATTGAAGTTTCGAAATACTGTTGCACTGTTGCTGTCGTATATGTAAATAATTGGTGTTGACCAGCGATGGCGTCGTATGAAAATTTGACGATTGAGCAAGTGAACCATCCTAAAAACAGGAAATGAGTGAAAAAGGCTAATTGCAAATTCAAATTGCATAATGAAGCATGTCTACTTTTGTAGTCCTTTTACGCAAGCAACAATCATTCATTAAACATCGGCACTGTTCCTGCTCATCAGTATTGACCATAATTCTCTCTTCCTGCAAATATTATATTCACCTTAAAAGAGGTTTTTTGAAGATTGGAGTTTTTACTATTTTTAACTCAATCAGCTAATTTGTTTAGTTTTATTTTACCTGAGAAGACAAATTCGTTTCACTTTTTAAGTTTTAATGTGCACTGATATGTGGCAAGGAATAAGGAAGAAAGAAATTACTTTATGCAAAATTAAGGAAGAAAATGAAACTATTTCAAAGAACAAATTTCTAAGCTTACCAAAACTGGTTTTGGATTGGTCTTGAAACCATTTGGTGTACCACTCACTTCAAAACAAGTACAGGGAGAATCTGGCCAAGCAAGAGCACTAAATAGTTCTTTAGGCACCCAATTTGATTTCATACCCATATTTTGAACAACTTTCTGCAGAAAACTCTGCTGGCTAGCACCTATTACTAATTTGATTGGCTGATGACACATCGACTAAAATGAACAGTTTGTTCAGTCGCTTAAGCGATTTTCCATTTCCAAACATTATAAGTGTGTATGTAATTGCCAAAGCAACTTAATTGGAGAATGAGTCCGGAGATTTTATTTTTAAATCAAATTTTTTTTTTTCTTTTCGTATAATTTTTTCTTTTTTTTTCTTTTTTGAATAAAAATGAATAAAATGACAAACTGAAATGAAGAGAACCGATGGTGAAAGGCGGTTGTTTAGCTTTTTTGACTAAAAGAAAGGTTAGAGTTGCAACCTGAAATTAGATAAATGAACCGCTAGCTATACTTGGCTTTTTCCGCGAATTCTCGATATCTTTTGCAATGTCGCTGCCATTCTTTTAATGAGACGCATTTTGTGCCCTGATCCTTTCAGTAACATTTGAATGGTTGATGATGAGATACCATCTGAAGCAATGAATATCTAATAAGGGGATTTATCAAAATGATAAGGCATTCTTGAAAATCTCTTTTAATTCACCACCAATTTCAGAGGTAGTAAAAACTGGTAATAAATGTTTGACATAAATTTTTCAATGAATATGAGAAAGTCGTAATTTAGTAGAATTTTTGGATAGCATTTAATTTGACTTTTAGTTCGAAATAAATAAATATCTTATACATGGAAAACTTCCCGAAATTACCGGAATTGGATGCTAGTTCAAAGAGCGAAAACTGACAACCGTTTGTACTTTGACTGGCACCTTTCTTTACCAGATATTGTGTTAATGCATCGTTGCTGCAATGTTTTTTTTCATTAATGAGATTTCCAAAAATTTTAAATCAATAAGTAAATCAACGAAGATTATTCAATGTAGAATTTGAATTAAAAATAAAAATTTGACTAAAAATAAACAAACAGGAAAAAGCATACCCACACACAATCGCAATCATAATTGGTGTAAAACCGTAATAAGATGCGTTTATATTACAATTGTGTTGCAGTAATATTTGCACCTGAATTTCAGATTCTGAAGGAATAGCGTAGATCCCATTCCTTTTTCAGTCCAAGTTTTTCAAATTTTTTTGCTTCATATTTTTTCTCATCTTTCTTCTTTTGAAGATGTTCAAAAAGTTCGTAAAAAAAATTTGCTTCACTTACCATGGAAATGCTACCAACAATGGCAGCGTACATCAATGGCGTAGTACCAGTTGGTAGTTCAGCATAATCATTTAAATTCATAATGTAATCTACAAGTGCTACCTTATGATCACGTATCAGACATCGAATATCTGCAGTCTTTCTTGGTATTTCAACTTCTGAACAATATTTCTCAGAAAAGATGTGACAAAAATACTTATGAGTACTTATTATTTCTATTAGATATTTAAATTTTTGGATCTATTTTATTGCAAAATGTTAATTGTATCAAAATATTGATAGCTGCAGTGATACTAAAGAATCTCACTCATTATAGTACTAATTAGGAGTATGTTTTATGTAGAAAATATCGAATGCACAATAAACGTGAAATGTATACTTACGTGATTCCCGATTAGTGAAAGTTCTCGAAGTAATACAATATACTGCAGGCTGATTCAGCAATTGTAGATCAAGGTCATGCAAAAGAGCTATCATTTTCAAATCCATTAGTTGTTCAGCCACATGAAAAGCATCGAGCTCATAGAATACATCACAGCATGGGTGTCGAATGAAACTGCAAGAATAAATTTTCAAATTTCGATTAAGGATTAAAGAAAAGTTTTTCAAATAAAGATTCACAATGGAGTTGGCATGATGAAAAAGACGAGAATATGTAGGAGGACGAAAATGAAGCGAAAAGATTCCTTAGAGCAACATTTCAATTAAGGATTAGCAAATACTTCATAAAGAGTTTGTTCAAATTGTACTGTTATAAAGAACCCGGCAAATTCAAGATGAATGACTATTTGGTATTGCTTTGTAGCGATCGCTGCTATTAGAGGAGTTGGAGCGCGTCGTCGTGTTTCACTCGCATATTCACGCAACATTACCAAAACATTTAAGTGACCTCTAGAAGATGCTAATGACAAAGCTGTCGTACCGTAAAATCTGAAAGATAATAAAAAATTTAATTTCAAATTAAGAACTTTTATGATAATGAAATTTCTTCAAATGTACACAGAATTGGCTCGGACAATTCTTTAAGAACTTTTAAGGTCAAAAGGCACAATGGCTTGATTTGCACAAAATTAAAATAAAGTTTATAAAAACTAAATGAAGCCCACTGCATGTGGGAGGAACTCACAACAATAGGAATCATTATTTTAAGAAATAATATTCTACGTTGTTCTGAATGGATTGGCACCGTGTCGGATCAGTAACTCAATTGCTTGAACCTTTCCGTTTCGGGCAGCGTGAAGCAAAGGAGTAAATCCGCAATGGTTGCATTTATCAACTGATGCCCCGCGATTTAATAATATTTGCATCTGTAAATTGGAAAATTATATTCAAATAAGATGGCTGTCACTTTTAACAAAAATTCTACAATTCTCCAATTTATTTAAAAAAGTGCTTTAGCAACTTTTAGGAGTTAAAGGTAATTGCTAATATAAACAAAATTATTCATAAGTTATATGAATGGGCATGGAAAAGACTGTGTAGTACTACTGGTACTGAAAGATTAATACTGGAAGAGAATTCGTTTTTACAGGAAAAATAGTAATGAAGTGACAAAACTTTTGCTGAAATGACTTAGTTTTATTCAATCTAAATTAAATTGAGCAATATTTTTATTATAAGCAAAAGTTAAAATGAAGCAAAATAGCAGAATTCATACTACTATAAACTTAAACTCACCATTGCTAAGTTGCCTTGTGCAGAGGCAATTTGTAATGCTGTAGTGTTATCATCATCCATAATATCTGCTGATAATCCATGAGCTAAATTATCACTGATAGCTTCATAATCAGCTCTATAGGCTGCATCCAAAAATGCCTTTATTCTTCCCGATTCATTCGTTTCCTTCAGTTCTATTATATCCATTTCTCTATTACAAAAATCCTTAAAGTAAGTAATAATTATTTAAAAACATATTCGAATTCGAATCTAACCGGATCTTTTACCAGTCGCTATCTGTCACACATATCCAAATGTTTACTATGAACACTGAGCAAACTTACTTCACAAACTTATCCGAAAATTTTTCTTTTATATTTAAAAAAAACCAATTCATTTTATACTTTTATCATTGCATTACCTACAATTATTGCATTTTTACAGACCACAGCTGTCAATAGATAAGATTGCTGTTAATGGTTTATATCAGTGACAAGAGAGGAGATGACGTCATGCATATTCTGTCTCAGAGAATGATTTACTTCTGAGATCAACAATGGTCGTTCAAAAATCTACAATTTCTCAAATTTGTTAAATTGTTAGGTTTATGCATGGTCTTCTCAGATGACCATCTGTCAGAAAATGATGGAATATCAAACATTTCAGAATAATTTAAGCAAATTAACTTTGCTGAATTAAAAATATTTATATTTCTATATACTGCCATTGGTTTTTCATTATAACTGTGGTTTACTTCATGCAATTTCTCTGTGTGACGTAAAGGAGAGAATTCAATCAGCCAGGAATAAAAACAGAAGAAACGACTGAAATTCATCAATTATTTAAGCAATGAACATTAAGAATTCCATTAACACACCTGTTTAATCAACATAGGTAAATGCCTCATCTTGTATGGAAAGCATTACTTATTTTTATTTCTTACTTATTAAGTAATTTGTTATTTTTTCATAATTTTATCTATCAACTAAGCAAAGATTTTTATTTTCTTGAACTAAAGAAATCGATTGAGGAATGTGCAGAAATTCATAGTAGTTCTATCTAAAACTAAAATGAAATTTATTAGTCATAAATTAAAGAAACAGGAGAGGCGGAAGTTTTTTCTTCAGCATTTTAATTAGGAGGGAAGAAATTCATTGAAATTATATTCAGAAGGTCTCCTTTGCATTTCCATCTCAGTGTTATCTCAAATGCATATTGCGACCTCACTACAGTTTGGAAAAGGACCACGAAAGGTTTTGAAGCGTGCTTGGGAACGTCCACCGTTTATGGTTGCAAAACGGAATGCCCGAGAACGGACACGAGTTCATGCTGTTAATCAGGTATAATTTTCATATTTGAGATATATTAATAAAATATTGCTTTTACATTTAAAGGCTATACAGTTTTAAGTTTACAGTTCAGATTTTTGATAGAACATTTATTTTCTGTGTACTCTGTCTTCCTATGAAAGACTCTGTTCGTCAGTCAAGTAGTATTATCTAGAAGAGATTACAATGATGTTTTTTGTTAAAGATGAGAAATAAAGGATCTTTCTTATTTATTAGACATGATAGACTCTCAGGGACAATCATATTGATTAACTTTTATTTTTTTTTTTTTTTTTTTACTAACTTTTATTTCTTTTCCATACTGGGAAGATTAATGGATACTTTACACATTTCCATTCTCTCTATTCTACAACGAAGATTTTTCAGAGAAAATATGAATGAAATTGAAATAAATTTAATAAAACCCAAATTTTAGTGTAGGGGTTAATTTCAACTAAGTCAAATTCTTAGCAAATGTTTTATTGCAGGCCTTTGTTGCGTTGAAATTTCATCTCCCTGCAATACGATCCAATGCAAAACGCGTATCGAAATTGAAAATTCTGAGGGCAGCTATTAATTACATTGCTGCGCTGACCGATTTACTTCGCGTGTGTATTGCTTTTGTAGACAATTTTATTTTCAGTTTAGAAGTAGGATTAGCTATAAATTTTAGACTGTTCCACCATAGTGACTATAATTACTATGCGATTAAATTTATCTGAGGAAAAAGCTGTTGTTCAGCAATGTTCCAAAATAATTATTGCAAAATATCTTTCGTAGTGATAGGATCAATTGGTGAACTTCAAGGATTACTCACTTCTATTCCTGTCGAGATGCAAGGCACACTACATTAGTTTAACTTTGCAGGGAAATGCAGATTTTTCGAAGCTTAATGCGTCAAGTTACTACTGCGATGATAACATAAATGGTAGGCTAATTTAAATGTATTTTGGCTTTATCAATTTCCCTATCTCTTTCTACTTTTCTTTCAGTCCCATTTCGCTCTAGGCGAGAAAATCAACTATCAAATAAGGATAATGTGAAGAGAGAAGAACTACAACAACGTCAACAATGCATCATACCTCAAAACATCTATGATACTACTCAATGTTACAATAAGCAGTATTGGCTTGTTGACTATTCTCTATCAAATTAACAAATCTTCTAGCCGATGTTTGCATTTTAGACTTCTTAAATGTTTAAAATAACTCACTAAAATGATATTTGATAGTAACGCTTCTTAATCTTGCAAAGAATAGAAAAGTTAATTTTCTTTCCGGGAACAAAATTTTCGTTTTAAAATTCAAATGGGAATATCTTCGTAAACGAAGTAATACTTCTATGAGTTAATGCGAATCAGATCATTGTGGTGGGTAAAAATTTCATTTTTCCACATACTGCCATCAGCTTCACATCACCAACATTTGTTACTAATTATCGATTTGCTGCTCTGAAACAGATCTTGTAAACTGACATCCGAGAATATATTCTCGGAAATCTCACCAAAATTCACTTTGAGCTAAATTTACAGTGGATGACATTCAATGGAGTGACAATGAAACGAACAAATACAATGTCTATGAAAAAACGTAAAAAAATTATCCGAAAGGGTTAAAGTTGAAAGTTTATGCTCATCTAACACTTTAATCTGACAGTTACCAGCAAACAGTTTGTGTTATCAATTTGTATTCTCAGCAGGAGATCATCTTGTATAGACAGAAATATGGCAGTCGCAGATGACATTCGGATGCTCCTAAGAATCATTAGGGAAGATTGAAATGTTTCCCCGCTACTTCCCGGCTTTACCATGTTACAAACACAATTTCTTTTTAGCAGCAATAACATTGACTATGGATAGAAAGATGATGCATTAGCAAGAGAAGGACTGTGGTCATATTTTTTAATTTGCAAATTTGCAGTAACTGCTGTTAAAGGGATGATTGATCAGCATAATTACGAAACCTAATGGATTAATGATGAATGTTGCTGGATTTATTTAACTTATAAACCACAAAGATGATGCATTCGAATTAAGCACTGAAGATAATGTATGAATGAATGAGTGAAGAAGGATAGATCACATGACACTAAGGTCAGGAAGGACACACCAGGACACTGGACAATATCCTAAGAAGTGTTGCAAAATGCAAATATCCTCGGAGATATTTACTGTCTGTTAGTTATTTTGGTCTCTGAGTCGATCTTTACTTTGTTTCTTTTGAAGATGGTATTATCCTTTATAAATCTGTTTATAACAGTCGATTCTAATAAATCCGAAATAAAAACATAATAGAGGAGATATTGAGTGTTTCTCCCAATGAATTACCTCTTCTCGCTACAAACAAACAGAGAATCTCGAGAAACCTCTCGATGCTACTGAAATCGGCGCTTACCTTGCAGCTATACAAGAGTAACAGACATGTCCTAGGGACATCACAAATGTGTGAGACTTCTCCCGAGACAACACAAGGACCAATGTAAAAAAATATGTACTGCCAACACTTCTAGTGGTTGGTTTGATTGATGGTTGGTTGATTGAGAGGGAGGTAAAAGGAAACAGTTAGTTTCACGATTTGCTAGTGCTTGTTAATTCTACTCCGGTTTAAGTGTAACTCATCCGAACCGGAATGATTGTTTATAGATGTCATGCTTCTGTCTGCATAGAATAAGCGCCATTTGACGATTCTTCAGTTCTATCTTCCTTACGATATACTAAGAATGGGAGGGGAGGGGAGAGAATGATGAAAATTGATATTAAAGTGGTAAATTTGCATATTTATGAACTTTTATATTATAGAGAAGAATTTGACAGAGTAATCCATTCCTTTAGAATCTTCTTGTTCCGTGCCGGGAAACTTTTCACTATTTTACTCTTCTTTTCTGGCAGACTATGGGAAGAATATCTAGATCCTAGCATGATTAATGAATGGCTGGTTTATTGGGTAAGTCTCAGAATGAAGGATGATGTGGATAGATAGCATCTGCAATCGTTTTACCCTTATTCACATCTTCAAAGAATTTCTCTAGCTATTACATTTAATCAGTAATCGTTTTGTAGCTTACACGAAAAAACAAAAGAGGAAATCTAGGATGGATGAAGCACGGGCAGCAAGAAGGAGAGCACGGTATCAACTTCGGAGGACATTTCTACCAATGACTACGAGCAATACCGACTTCTTCTATCGAATGGCATTCGATGATGTTGAGAGACGAATTAGTGAACGGTAACGATAGTGGTTACGTTTACTTTTACCTTCGCAGCACTTTTCTTCATATTTCAATTGCTTATATTTGTGGCGGGATGTCGTTTAATGGAGAAAGATGTATTTGAGTTATTAAAGCCTTGTTGCTTCTTTCAAGGTATGATTTTCGGGCATATAAGTTATCACAATGACTAAGACAATGTGCATTGTTGTTTGCAGTAATATTAGTGTTTGTTTCCAGGAAAAACTACATTCTGTCCTGTCATTTGAGAGAAGGGCGTATTAGGAATGTGAATGATTTCTGTACTTGCAGTCATTGTAGGCCGGTTGCGCATATTCCTGTTTGGTGAGTGATTATTGGATATATTTAGTTATGTTAAAAATTGTATTTATGTAAATATAAAACTTTGCGAGCAGAATTCTCCCCTTTTAAGCTATTTTAATATTAGTTGCATATTGTATGTTTTTAGGATTTTTTTTTTTTTGTATTTAAATAGCTTGAGAGTTGCAGTTATGCGTATTGCTGTCATGAAGTCGAAAATGGTTTGAAGGGAAATTGCGCTCATGCAGAAAGACTGATCCAAAAGATGAGCAATTTGGAATGTATTACTGAACATGTGTCGTTTGCTAGCATATGCTTGGATACAGAGGTAATTTTCATTTGGATATAATATGTACAAGTTTTACAGCACTTCTACAACGCCTTCCCGTCCTAAAGTCGTAGCGTGAAATCATCTTTTCGTCCGAAGACGACATTTTAAGCAAACTTTTTCAGGTGTTGAACATGTTAGCAGAGCATCCAGGAGTTTGTCCAAGCTGGCTCGGGAATATACTTACATTTACCAATCGTGAATATCGTTATCTAGCTTATCGTTCTTTCAGTTACTGGATTCATGGCAGTGAATCAAAGGGCAATCGAATGGACCCACCACTATGTGTTCTTAACAAGATAGTTGAGGTTTCTTTCCATTCAAAATTTATCTATGTGGAAGTAATGTTGATGCAGAAATCCTTAGTTCAAGAATAGATTTCCAGGAAATCTCTAAAGTTTATTAGCTGGAGTTTGCAGAGGTATCCGTTCAATGAAAAAATTTCGGCTGGTTATCCGGGACTATTCACACTTTTTGGATCTTACTTTTTTGAGGAGTACGAGGAAGGCGATGATATGTGGAACTATATCGATTTACAACATTCACACTAAAATGCAAGGACGGAACCTTATGTCGGTGAAATTCCTTTAATGGACTAATCAAAAAACTTCGGTCCGCGTTTTGTTCCTCCTTTTGGACTTCTGTAGTTTGAAGTGTTAGTCTCTTTTCAGTGATGCAACAAGTAACTGCAGCAGTATAGTACCACTTTAGAAAATGATAATTCTCAATAATATTTGGAGAAAAAAGTAAGAAGCCTTGGTCCTTTAGACTTCTCTGCAGTCGTAACTTCATCTTATCAACTGACTTATCTTTGTTTATGTTGATTGCTGCAATTTTTGTATTATGCTTGTCACGGTTGCTGTTATGGTCTTTTTTGCAGTAAATCTAAGAGGTTAAAAAATAGTAAAGAACACGATCTGAATAATGTAATTTATATAATGTTGTTATATTAAACTCAGTTATGACTCGAAATCAAAACCCGTCACTTCATCCTTAAATTCATCCTTCAAAAAGTGGAGATCCTAATTTTTAACGTAATGCTGCACCTATCATATACATTTGGGATAACTACAGTAGATGAGAAATTCAAAGATTCGTTCGGCTCCTTTTATGCTTTGAGTCTTAGTAATTTTTCACATGACATTATATGCTTGAGCAGTATAAAGAACAATTTATATAAAAAACTGGTAACAACAATGAGTCATGAAACATCATTATCAATAGAAATTATCCAATATGAGTCAGAATTAACAAAATCAGATCCTACTGATAGCTACAGCAAAAAATTAAGGAGGAATAAGCGCAATAAATTAGTAAAACGCAAGTAGAAAACACAAGAGTAACATGCATAGGAACAAGGACAATTCTTTATGGTGTTAATCTTCTCGGGTCACGTGGGAAGAGGGATGCCAGACGCACGTTTCCAAGTCCGAGGAACAGCATCGTTACACGTTCTAATCCTGAAGTGTAAGAAATACTTTGACTGTTCTAAAATGAACCAAGCATTAAAGAGAAACAAATTTCTTACCAATACCACCTCCAGCATGTGGCGGACAGCCAAATTTGAATGAGTCGATATAAGCTCGAATCTTTTCCAAATCAATTTGGTGATGTTTAGCTCTTTCAGTTAACAACGATGCATCATGGATTCGCTGAGCACCAGATAATATTTCTTCGCCTAGAATCGCAAATGTTCCATAAATGAATAATTCATACAACGAGCAACAATTCTCAACACTTTTTAGCTGTCCCAGTTGAGTACATTGATGTTCAGCTTTTTCAGCTGACAAGGAAGCATTATCGATTAACTGAGCGCCATGTAATGAAAGAATTTCACATCCTAGTGTCACCTTAATGATAAATATAAATAAGTGGTATTACTTAGGAAAAGCGAAAATAACCGATTTTTCATCTGAAATATATAAATTTGTTTTCAGAAATAAATGTAGGTCAAATAGACTATGTGTCGCTACAGTTGAAAGTTCATCATTAAAATAATCACGAGCAATGTGTGTCACAAGTAAGAGTCGTACTAATCATTTAAGTCTAAACCAAATTAAGACTAAATGTCACCTCGCATAAACATGTCGTAGCTGTTGGAGTATTTCGGATCGTTCGCATCTGGCATAGTGTAAAATGGACGAACTGCCAGTGGGTATCTGTCGAGTATATAAAAATCCGTCCGATATTTTTCTTTTACCAATCTACCTAAAAATTTTTCTACCGGAGTACTTAAATCATCTTCATCTCCTATTTCAACACCATTTTCTCGCAACAATTTGACTGCATCCGGATATCTGAAAATCATTAAAATTCACTGTTTTTCATTTCATTAGCCTTCGTATTCCTATTTAATATGTAGTAATTCAAATGAAAATATTATATGTAAAAATGAAAATGACAAAAATATTGACTAAAAAGCAGATAAATATTCATAATACATGAAAAAATTAGGATAATCATCTGAACCTTATATACTACATATATATAATAGCGTAACAAACCTGAGTATAAGGGCAGGCTCAACGAATTCGAATGGTTCACAGGGATACTGCTTGTCAACTATCTCAATTTCATGCTTGAATTTCGCTTGCAAATCTTTGAATATATCAATCAAAACAGCACCAATGGTTTCAAGAACCTGAAACCAAGTTTAAAAAAAGTTCTGAACAGAAAACTCTGTACAGATATTTTTATCTTTCTATTTAAATATATTTTCAAATTTAACAATCCAAAATAAACCTACCTCATGGTAGTGGAATTTAAACGCCATTTCAATATCAAGGCCAACAAATTCTGTTAAATGCCGATGAGTGTTGCTGTCTTCTGCACGAAAAACAGCACCAATAGTGAAGACCTGCAAAACAATGAAGCATATGGTTTAGTGAGATAAATCAAATCACAACTAACAGAAACGATAAACATCTCTAAAAATTGCTTACTTTGTCAAAATCTGCAGCAATTGCCATTTGTTTATATAACTGCGGTGACTGAGCAAGGTAAGCAGAACGTTTAAAATATGAAACCTAAAATGATGAAAAGATTGACAGCTCAACCAAATTTGTATCAGAATTGCAAGGAAAAGGAATAATGAATAACCTCAAAGACATTTGCGCCTCCTTCGCTCGCTGCAGATATGATTTTTGGTGTATGTATTTCCATGAAACCGCGCTTCTTTAAAGTGTTTCGGAACAGCTCACAAACACCATCTTGTATAGAGAAAATAGCATGACTTGTCTGCGTACGGAGATCCAGTACTCTTAACAAATACTTTTCTTTTTTCAGTAACTTCCTAGCACAGTACAAATTTATGAATTATTCCAATCATGAATCTTTTTTAGTTTTAGTAAAGCATTTCCTAACTAACTACGGTAAGATTCAATAAACAAAAAATTTCGAGGTGCGCCCTTATTTTACATTTTAGTATTCTGAAGCGTATAGCAATGAAGTTAGTATGTTACAATACATTCCTCACTAATGAAAACAGTGCATATTTTGATAACCCAAAAAAGTAAAACTAACTGGTCAGGTAATTAAATCACAATAATTATATTTTTATCATTATTAGAGTCAGTTCTCAAATCGAACATCGACTGAAAAGAAAACCTATTATCTAGACGTGTATCGAGATTTACAACAGATAAACATGAATCTTCTGTGCTTTTGCCTTCCTCTTTAATTCGAGCAGCATCTTCTATTTGAAGTGGTAAGCGTGGTTCTGCTGTGCTAACAACGAACAGTTGCGTGATATGCACTTCGACCTTTTTCTGTGTACAGCTGGTGATTTCTTGTTCCACTTTTTTTACAACACCTCTTACATCAATAATTGATTCCTAAAAATGTTTTTGGGAATAAAGAAGTCTTATATATTTATATACTAAGGAATGCCAGAAGAAAATATATTCGATGAAGAAAATTTTACTTTTGAAATATTCCCAACAAATTTCAACATTTGCTTGCTAATCTCTTTTCCAACAGACAACATTCCCTGTATCGAATGCATTCGCTGACGAATAATAATGAAGCACGTTTTTCCCTTTATCCTCGACGTATGCAAACGGCCTCGAATCCAAATCTGGAAGCAATAAGATTCACTGAACGAGAAATCTGCAGTGCAAAAGTTACTTCATACATCAATAATCTGTAGTACACATCTTAATCAACCGATAATATTATTCTATTTTGAATCCCAGTAACTATTCAAATTCAGGTATTTTCATATAATTACGCCATGAATGTCTTTAAATAAATTGAATTTAAATCTTTCCGGACATTGTGATAATATATACATCTCCAAACCTCAATGCTTAGCATGACTATAAATTACAATATACGTGTAGCAGTCACTACATTTCGAAATTAGCTCTACCAAATTTCAGAATATCACACTTTTAAAACGCATATTTTTTAAATACACATATAAAAGTGCTTAAAAATTCATATCATAGTTCACCTCATGTCCTTCTAAATTCACGAAGACATCTTTAACATCAATGAAATCCAGTTTCCTTAACTCAATAGACTGTATAATTCCATAGGCGCCATAACAACCTTTCGAGATATCTTCGTCCTCTTCTTTCTCGTTCTCTTTAACAAGTGCAACTGCATTCTAAATTTCCAATACTGTTGTCAGAGTTATATTTACAATATACGAATTATCTGGAATAGAAAAAATAACGTAAAAGATGATGTCAGGTATCAAACCTCAGCCTTTTTCTCCATTTTTTTTTGTTGCTTTGCCAATTTGTTCAGTTCTTTCTTCGACAATTTCTTTTCACTTTCAACTCCATCCACACTCGGTCCAACTTCATTCGTCATCCTGGACCAAATTCTTAAACTGTCTTAAAAGCGAGATGAAAGCAATAAAGCACGAATGTTTGTTACATATCGACCAGAAAAACCAATCAATCAATCAATTATTCAATCGTATGCACGGAAAAGCTACACGTAAATATACCCACGCTTTCCCAGCCGACTGCCAAGCAGCACTTCCCCAAGATGTGATAAGAACCGGACGCCTGAATGACACATTGAGTCAGAGATGGCGGCCGTCACGTTGGCCGCTATGAAAACTGTGATTCAGTTGTGTACTCTAGTAAAAGTGTGGTTTGGATACATTCGTATGCGTGGATGTGTTTGTTGTCAGCTGTAGGTGGGCGTACTTTGTGAATGGATACAATGAAAGATGCCCGTTGGGAACCCACGCTAGACAGATCTTAAGGAAAGGCTTCGCTATTGTTTTACCCAATTAGAATGTACTTCGTTCTCATCCTCTCTCTTCCTTAACTGAACTATCTTTACGATGCTTGTATACACAGAGCCTTTGGCAAGCGATGAAATGTTTATCATTTAATTGATAACAACAGCAGTTGAATGTTCTCGGAAATCTCACCAAAATTCACTTTGAGCTAAATTTACAGTGGATGACATTCAATGGAGTGACAATGAAACGAACAAATACAATGTCTATGAAAAAACGTAAAAAAATTATCCGAAAGGGTTAAAGTTGAAAGTTTATGCTCATCTAACACTTTAATCTGACAGTTACCAGCAAACAGTTTGTGTTATCAATTTGTATTCTCAGCAGGAGATCATCTTGTATAGACAGAAATATGGCAGTCGCAGATGACATTCGGATGCTCCTAAGAATCATTAGGGAAGATTGAAATGTTTCCCCGCTACTTCCCGGCTTTACCATGTTACAAACACAATTTCTTTTTAGCAGCAATAACATTGACTATGGATAGAAAGATGATGCATTAGCAAGAGAAGGACTGTGGTCATATTTTTTAATTTGCAAATTTGCAGTAACTGCTGTTAAAGGGATGATTGATCAGCATAATTACGAAACCTAATGGATTAATGATGAATGTTGCTGGATTTATTTAACTTATAAACCACAAAGATGATGCATTCGAATTAAGCACTGAAGATAATGTATGAATGAATGAGAATTACTGGATTTCTTGTCTTGCTATCAGAAAATAATTATCTTTTTTAATTAGCAAATATTGCATGATTAGTTTAATCCTCTATAATTATGAATATTAATAGATTGATACAATTTTCCTCGGAATTTTTGTCTCTAATTCCATTCCTAACTACCGTTTTGCTGCTCTCAGAGGAAATATCGAGCACATCCATGTCCCTTTACATGGATGCTTTACTCCTGACTGAAATTTCGAACAATCTATTAATTCTCGGAGACTTTCTTTGCATTTCAAAGAATTCCTTACTGACCGTATCCTTTGAAGAATAACGCTCATGACTAGTGAGTAACATAAGGTATATCACTGAAAATATTCGTTTATTGATTGCTATCAGTCAGAATAAGGTATGCAAAATTGCATAGCATGCATTAAACACAAATATGCAAGAACCCGTTGAGGAAGTGTTTTTAACAAGTGACAAACGAGTTAGTTAAAAGTTCACCGTGTGCTTTGGAAATCGTACATTAAAGGTAATGAAATTAGGAGTTCCTTTTCCAGTTATTGGAGAAATTTACTCACCAAGCATTTGCATGGAGACAGGAAATTGATATTGTTCCTCAGCTGTAAAGGAGTAGAAAACTGTCAATCCATTTCACTGCCTCATCAAAAGATCCATAATATTAACATGATATGGTTTTCTGTATGCAAGATTTCTACCGAAGAAAATCTTTGCTATTAATAAATCACTCGTAATGTCTTGTTTCTTTCATGAATTACTAGAAATATTGTTTTTTTTTTTTTTTTTTTGATTATTACTATAGATGACATTGTTCTTATTCTCACTTATTTTTAATCATAAAATTGAAGTCTGGTTTCTCGTTGACATTTAACCTCAACGTGGGAGGAATTAATGAATTATTAGTTAAACATTTCAATAGTCGTAATTTACTGTCTGATTTTAAGGTTGCGTTTTTCACAATAACCGGCACTTCTCCACAGCGACTCTTTTTGACTGAGAGCCTCTTGTCGAATTCCGCCTTTGCATCAAAATGTGGCATCTGGATGACTTCGAGTGGTGCAGATGTCTCCTGATTCTCATGTAATTGTTCACTACTCTCCTTTCTAATGGTTAGTAATCTGAAAGAGGAAGAAACCTTTAGCAGGAAAATGCTGAATTTTGAATTTGCTAAGTTGCTATCCTTTGACTTAACAAGCAATAAACTTACTTATTTTCCAGATCATAGATAGTGCTGTGCTTTTCCTCGCAGTAGACAAGAGTTTGACACTTCTCATCTTCAGAAGCCCTTTCTTCAGATACACCGAGTAGTTCCTGACAACTATTTGCTGATGCAACAAAACTAGTATTCTTACTATCGCATTTTGTAAAGCCTTTTTTGGCTTCAGAAGGTTTCTCCGCCACAACTAAATGCTTATATCCAAGCGGCAACAATGGCTTTGAAAAAATAGATGTTGGCTTATTCAATTTTTGTCGAGGCGGCGGACATGGTGGCGCAATTTGTGGTCTGTGCAAGCTTATTTGTTGTATTTCCGGAGCAACTACGAATGTATCCAGTTGTATTTCTTTCTTTTCATGATATTGATTGATATTTCTTGTGAAAGAGAATTTCTTCTTCTCAGCAGTTTCTTTCAAGATTAATTCTGATTTTACCCCGTCACATTTTTTTTCGATTTTCTGTTCCGATCCGATATATTCGTTGATTTCAAATTCAGTTATTACTGGTTCCTGGTTAGTTATCGATGGTGTGGTGTTTTCTGAATTGATTCTAGTGATCTGTGACCATGAGGATATCGAAGGTATTTCGAAAGCTTGACCTGGCTGCTGGAAATCCGGTTTTGCAATTCGTTTTATTTGGGCTATGCTAACATCAATTGATTCAACAGTTCTTAATTTTGTTTTCCTAAAAGCGGAATATACCATAACTGGAAAATTTAAAATTGCTTCATAATTATCCACTTCTTTGCTCACTCCTTGTATTTCTTTTTTTGAGTCAGATATATACTCCTGATGCCTTATTTGATCTGGAATCATTGACTCAATCAGAAACTTTTGAAATGGCACTCTGGAATTTGACTGCAAATGTTCCCTGAATAAAGGCATTGCATCAAATTCAGGAACTCTTTGCAACTTGCATAATGGGGGTTCAAAGTTCACGTATTTTTCAAAAAGTATTTCTTTACTCAAAGGTTCATTTTGGGATTTTATTCGATTTGTATGCGAAACTTTAGTGAAATTCCTGGTCTCATCTAGAATGATTTCCGTCAAACATATTTCGTCAGTATTCGATTTTTGCATAGGTGTATTATCCAGTGATGAGTCGAAGTGATTAGTCATCGCAGTTTGCAATTTCTGATTAATTTTTGTAGCTGACGAGATAGTTTCGTTACTTACCCATATAACACTGGATACATTTTTATCTGTTCCGGAAAACACATTTCCCTTACTGGCAAGGAACTTGCTTTGAGTGACAGTAAACATTCTCTTTGTGTCATCCAGTTCTTGCATTACGTAATCCGGACCAGCTTGATTCACCGTCTGTTTTAACACAATTTTTGCAGCAGTGACCATAGGTATTGTTTTGGTTGCCGTTGATAATTGCTGCTGCTTGTTTCCTTTCAATTCCTGAAGCTCTTCCCAAAAATTTCCAAACTTCATGGAATGACCTGGTACCATGTAAGTTTCTATTTTAAGCTTACCCGCAAACAACTTGCTTATTTCTTTTTTCTTCAATTCCTCTAGTGCATCAGCTACTGATTCAGTTTCCAATTTTTTTTTATCTCGGGTCAATTTATTGCTTGAATCAATTAAATTTGAGAAACCAATGATTGTGATGGGTTTCACTATCACTGAAGTTGTTAATTTAGCTCGAGGTGCTGTTATTAGAGACAGGTCAGAACTAGCAATGCTTTCAAATGTTTGCTGCAAATTGCAGAGGCTTCTCGGTATATAATTATGGCTTAATTGCATCTCCGCATGATCTTCGACAACAATCTAAAATAAAATTCAATAAAGTGTTGATCAAATAAATTTATTGACTTTATGAGGAATTATAAAAGGATATTTAGCTAAGTTTTTCACTTACTAATCACATAACGCCTATGCTTACTACAATTATTTTCCAGGAAAGTTTCATATTAATAATACTTGCTGTTCATTTTAAGCTATGGGACACAGTGATACCCATCAAGCAAACAATACTCGCTGATGGTATAGAAATGCATCAAATCGTCTACGGAGCAAAATATCAGAAAAAAAATCTGCTAATTTCTTTGACCTATTAAATTGCCATTTTTATGTATATAATCGTATTAGTTACTTATTTTTTAAAAATTACTTTTCACAAATTCGTAATTAGTAATTAATTAGCTGTTGATTATGATAAGTCTTGAACGTAAGCTATTGATTATGATAATCTTTCGAATGTAATGACAAAGTTGTTGGGAGATTAGTAGAAATTATTATTTCTTTTTTACGAAAATTAAATTATTTACTGTCTTGTTTGACATTCCTCTGCCTTCGTATATTTGTTTTCCTAACCTATCATCAGAATTTGGATCGGTGATAACACCCATAGGAGTTGTTTTTGCTACAGATTCCATAAAAACATCTTCAATTTGCTGATCTATATTTGCCCTCAGAATTTTTCTCGCTCGAATTAATATATTCTTGTTCATTCTGTCCGGTTTTGCATCAATAGTTCCACTTCCATTATTGAGCTTTACTATGAATTCTTGTTTCGATATTGGACAATTATTGGAGGTGAGAACAGTTGGTGTATCCATGACCTGAATTTTCTCCAAATTGCGTCGTGAACATATCCTTGGCTTTTCGTTCATTTTTATTATTGAGTGAATAATTTTTTCAACAAA